AAAGAAGATCAGAACAGAGAGGCAACACACACTGGACTGCAAAGCCCACTTTGTATCATGACAGGAAGAGACACAAAAACAAGCATGATGTGCATTATTGCTATCATCTATTAAAAGAGTTAGGAATACAGTTAAAATACCAAATAAAGATAGACAGACATGATACAAGGATTACAGCTCTGTCAAAGACATGTGTCTGTTCAGTTAGTTCTTCAGCCTGAACACTTTGTGCCTCACCTGTTCTTCATCAGAGCTGCTTGCATGTATTTATATGGCAGCAACACAACGTAGACTCCCTAAACACTAACCACTATAATAATGTATTACTCTGGTGAGTGGGAGAACATAAACAGGTGCAGTCTACAACTAAGATGCTTTAAAATCTTCTAAAACATGGGTAACCCAAGGATGCCAAGCAACTAAACGGTAGCAACATCTTTCTAACACCTTCTTAAAAGAAGAAAGTCAGTAACCCTTCAGATAACCTTTTCAAGGCACCTTCTTTCACAACTGAGAAGTAGAAATTACTGTTTTGTAAAATACGTATTTAGAATGCAGCTTTTCATATATTCACAAATCACTAGTGAAGTCTAGTACACACTGTAATGTCACTAGGATCACTAGATCCTTATTCAACATTTTCATAAATTTTGTTTTAATCTATAGCAACACACAGATGCAAGACATGGTTTTGTACCTGGGAATGTAGGTTCAAAGTATTCTAATATTAGCCCATGTTAAACAATATCAGACTATATGAGCTTCCTAGCTAAATATCAACCCTGGTTCCCAAACTGCTGAGAGTACAAGAAAACTTCCATATGTGAGAAAGTTGTCAGTTGAGACACCCTTTTTTTTTTTTTCAGGTTGGAAACAGAGAACCACAAGCACCTGCAAAGTTTAATACAGGAAGAAGTACTTCAGTCAGTAAAATACTATTATATGCTTGATTTGCCCACCGAAAAGCACAAGGTAAGTTTATTTTTTTCAGTTCAGAACTGTATTTTTTTGTTCACTTACACTGTGTCTTTCAAGAGAAAAAAAAAAAAAAAAAAAAAACAGGTTCATGTAGGTTTTGGAAAAAACACAACACGTCTTCTATAAAGCACTGTACATGGGACTTAGCACCATTACCAAAATGGTGAAAGAGAATACACAATAAAGCAATACGGCATGCAAGAAGCTGTGCAGTCTCGAGATTTTCCTTGCTTCCTTAATCAATCAGGCAATAGCTTAGTTTCCAATGATTTGTGACTATACAAGGATATGGAGTTAATACAGGCCTGTGAGATCTCAACACACCCTGATAGTGTCATTAGTGGAAAAAGGTGGGAATAAGGAGTACCTCCATCGTCAGATGGCCTTGTTATCTCACTGTAGTAAGAAAAGGTAGGGTTTGTGTCAGAGCCATCTGATTTATAATCTCCCAAACTGGTAGAATGTAAATACTGCTTACTATAACGGCTTGCTCTTTCTACAAAGGTAGAAAGAAAGAATATCAAGTAAATAGATGACAGAAGTGCAAAGATCAGCAACAACAGAAACCCCAACACTGCTAACATTAATATTCATACACTGATGGCATTAAAATTAAAGTGAATTGTTCAAAATTTTTTATCCATTTTGAACACCATTAGTTCAAAAGGTTGCTTCAAAATCAGATACAACTAAGCTTGTTCTCTGCTTTAAAAGAACAGCAGAAACGGAAGGCAGAATTGATATACTGGAACAAAAAAAGGGATGAAGATGAAGCATATGAAAATTCCCAGTGGAAAATCAAAATGATCCTTTATCCCAGGATGTATATAAATGCACGTGGAAATACTATTGTATTCAAAAGAATATTTAAAGTTCCACTATTAGTAGCAAAGAAAATACATGCACAAAATTAAACATTCAAAATAAACACTTCTAGGGGAAAAATACCCAAAAACTTGTAGAGCCAAAACATTGCTACCTATTATTGCATTACCTTCTCTCCTTTTCCATCTACCCTTAAATTCTGAACACCTTAGAGTTGCAAACAATAGCAGAAGGTATAATATCGTGTGCCATAGAAGCAAAATGTGCATAGAAAAGAAATCACTTTCATAAATAGGCCTATATGTCTGAAATTTTAATAAAGTCCAACTATTTGAAAATTCTCCTTACAGTAAGGATAAAGTAGCTCAATATTTTTTAAGTGACTAGTTGTAAGTAGTATGAATAACTGTTGTTTAGGATAAGATTTATTTCACTATTTCTCATCCGCACATGTGATTATGGCCGAGGTTCCTATAAAACACTGCTTTTAAAATACTACAGTTATATATGCATATATATGAAAACATACTTATAAAACATACAGCTGGCACATTGACCTGAAAATTTTCTGTATCAACTTAGTTTCATAAATATAAAAAGCTGATTTGGGAAAAGCCAGGATATAAGCAATACCAGAAAGCATATGCAGACTCCTAGACTGAATATTGTCCTCCAGAGGATCAATGTCGAAGATGGAGCCAGGATCTGTGCGCCAAACTTTGAGATCTTTTCCCAAAGCACAGAAATTATCAGACAGACAAACAACAAAGGAAGTAAAAGCATGAAAGAAATGAGTTTCAACAATCAGCAACCAATTTCCTTCATCTAGAAATTAACCAAAAAGATCTAGTTATTCACCTGAAAGGACCAGAAACCATTAATTTCCTGCTTAAAAGAACCTAGTGCATTCACTTTCAGCACTAACATAATTTTAAGGAGACTTTTTCTCCCAATTTTTGTTTCCTTCTCTAAATATGACCACAGTGTTTTCTTAGGTCTAAATAAATGGAAACAAGTTAAATATCACATACCAGAACCAGAATAGAGCTACATGATTATTTCCCCAGTCCACCAACAGCATCCTTACTCTATGGAGATGCTGCAGTATACATCCCTATAGGCTGGCAGTACACACCTCTACAGCTGACAAAGGTACTACAGGCCCTCCTTTGCATACAGCAGAGATCAAGTCAGCCTAATAAGCCGAATCAAAGGCACAGTTCATCATATTCAAAATAATTTCCTACCAGTTGCTCAAGTCATATAAACTCTAAAGTATCCATTTTTCTTAACCAATACAAAAAGTGTACTACGGTGACAAATTCAGCTGTAGAAATCTACATTGTAGACATCTACAGTTGGGTACAATGAAGCCCACTCTGGATCTTAATGAGTAATTCCCTTTATCTTACAAATATCTAAGTTTCTTGGGACACAGATTTGCTGTTGATCCACTACCCCACTATCAAAAAGCATTTCTGGAATTCAATGTATGGATTCAGTAGCAGTAGTAACCGTAAGATCTTCAGCTTTAATTCATACAAGTTACTAATATCTCTTGAATTCACATGCCTCACATCAGAGTTTAAGTTATAATCACAGCAAAAAAGTGAATACAGATTCAACCATGTTTTTGATAAACTTTTAACAAATAATTGCGGTGTTGTACAAGTTAAGAGGAGGTGTATAGCAAATGCAGAAGCAGCTACAGTGTAAATTATTGATTTACTCAGATCAATCTAATATATACAATTAATATCTGCTATGTCTAAAAATATAATAATCATTTAATCTCTCCAAAACAGTTTAAAATAGAACTTTGATGTAAAGTACAATCAGTCAAAGCACAAATCTACCAGATCACACTTTTTTACAAGTGACTTGCTTCTTGAGCAGACCTGTTTGCAAGATTTACTCAATGCACTGAAAGTGGGAAAATTAACTGTCTTCCCAACTCAGTAATTTTGCTGGTTTGAATGGTACAAAGCTAAATAATGGGTTGGGAGGTAAAGTAGGACTGTGGGGACCCCAAACGTGTCATGTTTCAAATTATTAATAACATAGAGGAAATAGACAGGACCGACAGACCGAATAAAATAAATCCCATGGCTTTAGAATACATTAAACGTACGTACATTATGTGTTATCTTCTGCAGCTCCCATAAGGTGAGGCACAGCACTAACTCCCTCTTGACAAGATGAATAAAAGCCAACACAAAATCTTTTGATAAACTATGTGTTCATCCTAAACAGTGATAAACTGTGCAACCACATAAAGCACTGACACGCATGAGGCGCGTGGGGGAACTGGTGAATGCCCAACTTTTCCTCTTTGATCATGCCTTAGTAAGTAAAAACATAATAAGCCCTGCAGAGGAGGACTTGGGGGTACTGGTGGATGAAAAGCTGGACATGACCTGGCAATGTGCGCTCGCAGCCCAGAAAGCCAATCATATCCTGGGCTGCATCAAAAGAAGTCTGGCCAGCAGGTCAACGGAGGTGATTCTCCCTCTCTACTCTGCCCTCTTGAGACCCCACTTGCAGTGCTGCGTCCAGCTCTGGAGAACTCAGCACAAGAAAGACATGGACCTGCTTGAGTGGGTCCAGAGGAGGCCATGAAGATGATAAGGGGGCTGGAGCACCTCCCCTGTGAGGACAGGCTGAGAGAGTTGGGGTTGTTCAGCCTGGAGATGAGGCTCCAGGGAGACCTTATAGCAGCCTTCTAGTACTTAAAGGGGGCCTACAGCAAAGATGGGGAGTGACTCTATCAGGGAGGGAAGTGATAGGATGAGGAGTAATGGGTTTAAGCTAAAAGAGGAGAGATTTAGACTAGACATAAGGAAGAAATTTTTATGATGAGGGTGGTGAGACACTGGCACAGGCTGCCCAGAGAGGTAGTAGAAGCCCCATCCCCGGAAACATTCAACATCAGGTTGGATGGGGCTCTGAGCAACCTGATCTAGCTGAAGATGTCCCTGCTCACTGCAGGGGGATTGGACTAGATGGCCTTTAAAGGTCCCTTCCAACCCAAACTGTTCTATGATTCTAAGTATGGCTTCATAGCAGCATCAGTGCAACAGCCATTGATTTGTGTTGATTTTATCCATCCCTGTGATCTGAAATCACATACATAGAATCAGAATCTTGGCAATTTACAGCACCAATCAATTTTAACTTCCTGGTAACTTTTCACAATTAAAAATATCTTTATACTTGGTGAGAATCATGAAGTGAAAATGAAATCTGGGAGTACTTTTTCTTGGTTATAATGGAGAACACAAACAGAGGCTTTCATCTTCCCCACAGTGTTTTCAGCAGCAATGGTATTCAACAACTTACCAACAATTATTCCAGGTCTTCTGTCCATTTCAACGATATGTGGATGCACACCTTTATACGCTGCATCACTCACAATTTGGGTGTTTTTCCGCACCCGCTCTGTTACAGGATCATCTACCACTGGGGTGAAGCCTCTGCCCTTTGTCTTCTCAAAATCTTCATGGTATTTTACCTAGGAAAAGAAGAAGAATTACATTTTTCCCCAAGCTGTAGTTGACAGTAAATAGTTATTCTATACAAGAATGCATACGTGTTTGTTTTATGAGGCACCAATATTCTTTGGGTTTTGCACCATAATAGAATTGTTACACATATGAGATATGCTGGATGGCCAGCCAAGTCTTTTCTATCCCCCAAACTTGCTTCCCTGATATTTTATTATGATTTTTACATTTGTTTTCCATTGCCACTGAGTCAAGCATTAACTCAATCAGCAAAGCTTCATTTTACAGTCACACAGGACAGGAAAAGCCCTCCAGAGGTCATCTGGTCCATCCCCTTCTTCTCTAAGATAGGATAGCTCTCTACTGATGTAGACAACTACATCTGTCAGTAAGAAATGTTCCAGCAGTAACAGTTCTAAAGAACTCAAGTATTTTCATTCACTGAGAATTTTGATTACACACACAGTTTCATACAAAACGTACTCTTTTGCTCTTTTATCATATGCCAGCTGGCTTTAAACATTTTTAGATTTTTAGAAAGAATTGCAGTTATTCTAAGCAGCCTGCTTTCAAAAAAAAAAAAAAAGTTAAAAACAAGGACATTAGGGTAGAAAGTGTTATATAACAAAGTGTTGGAACAAAACCGGTATTAGTAAGAGTTATAAAGTAGTATCCCTGATTATACATATTTGCTTTTTAAATAGTCTAAATCTTCAAAGAATTAAATTGACAAACATTCTCACACAAGCAAATGCACACAAAACTACTCATTCCAAGAACAAAAGTCACGCAGAAACCAGGAACGTGCACAGGCACAAGGTGAAGTGTGTCACCTAATCCAGTCAAACTGTGTGATGCTCAAAAGAGGCGTGTACTTTTTCAAAGAAAAAACAAAACAAAAACAAAAATAACTGTTTTAACTGTTAGAAAACTGTTTATTAGTATTTTGAAAACGTTCATTACAGTCATATGCAGTTAGCAAACACTCCCTCAACAGGCATAAGAAGAAAATATTCCTTCCGTACTTGAGCAGAGTTTCATCAGTTACCCATGTTAATGGAAGGCAAAATCCAGTGGAAGTCAAGTGCCATTCCTCAGTATCGTCTAGTTATAGGAAGAAAATACCCTACCATTGAGATGTTGTTTTGTGTTTCTTTGACATGCCTTAGCTCAGGTGTGTCTAGAAGCACACTACGTCTACCTTTCATCTGCCTCTGATCACTGCTGTACTTGACCTGCAAAACAGCAACAACAGCACACAAGAAGTTTTTGTTCACAGCAGAAATGATGGCGAGAATCGCACCATGCAACAGTATTCTTCCCAAATCACAACGCCCAACATTTTTCTTGCTTTCTTTCTTTTTAGTGATTTATTTCAGAGGGAGGATACAGATGAGCTAGTATAATGGTAAGGCTAAAGGGCATGTTTATTCCATCAATCACTTACTCAAAAAATAGTATTTACCTAAAAGCTGAAACTCTTCACTGTTTAAATGACATAAGTGAAATAATTCACGTATCAACTGAAAAATAAGATAAATAACAAGAAAACACCACTGTGACTTGGACATATTTGTATGGCTGATAAGCTACCTTATTACCCAGACAGATCTAGATTCTGTCCTCAGTCTGCTTCCAGGTTAGGATCAGTGTGAGAACCCCTGGGTCCCCAGGGAATTCAAGTCTTATGAGCAGACTAGTCCTGTGGCAGCCTTCTGACTCCTGTTTGGCAGCTAGTCCTTGCTAGCAGCAGAAAAGCAACATGTCTGGGACAAATCTGACTGTGCTGCTCTCAAATAGAATATTTGGGCTCTGTGTTTTGTTCATCAGTAAGTACAGAATGTCCTATGTCACATTTCTCCTAATTAGCTTCTTTTGTGGCATTTTACAGACCTAGTGTAAAATGCAAGGTTAATCATCTGCTTTGGTTTTTTGCTGGTGGTTTTTTTTGGTGTTTGTTTGTTTGTTTAAAAAAATGGACAAAATACCCCTCACATTCAAAATTCTACAACAGTAAAAGCGGTTGGTCCTACTTGTTGGTTCTAGAGTGAGTACTCCTACAGTTTCTTCTGGCTGACTGAATTCTTCTCCTAATGGACTCTCTTGGTACCTACATTGCATTGTAACCTGCGTACTGAGCGTTAGTAAATATTTCAGATTTACCTATACATTCACACTCAAATTATTCCCTCAAATCAGTTGTGCAAATCTATTTCAACAGGCATTTGTGATGAGAGAAACCAAGTACTAAAATTGGCTAACCCTCCTTAAAATTATGTGTTAGCTAAGCACAATATATCTATGAAAATATGAGCCTTAATGTCTATGTTTCATAGGTAAGTTTGAGATAATGTACAGAGAAACAAAAATATATGGTACTGCATATTCTTCAAACCCTTCTTAATTAAACAATATTTTCTTAGCAAATATTCAGCTACATACACTTTTGAATAGAAGACATTTTCTGGACAGAATAATTACGGCTGACAGTTTGGTTTTCATCTACTGCTCATTAACACAGAGGAGTATTTATCCCTGTAAATCTTGAGAAATGAAAAGGAGTCATCACTTGGGGGGAAAAAAGCTTGATTTTCAGAAATAAATAAATTCTTTGAAGTCTAGAATTGTTGGGAAGTTTCCCTCTTATTTTTAACTATGCACCGTCAAAACTATTGACTTTGGTAAACATGCATCAGCCTTTTAAGAAGGTACTTAAGACATATCTAGTTACAAGTTCGGATTCTATTCCTTTGTTCTTAGACAAATTCTCTGACAAATCCAACCTCCTTTACTTTCCCCCCCTACACTCAGTTCTGAAGTGGTCACTACTATTAATTCTCTTCTGCCACCTTGAGACAGCAGCTCTGCATGAAACCTGTTCTACTTATTATCTGCAGGGGCTTTGTCACTGATGTTGTTTCAGTGTTGAGAACACAGACTGTAATATAAGTAGCCTGGTCCTTTACTTCATCATGCTGTTTTGACTTTTTCCTTGCTTCTTATTAGAACTGTCTCCTGCTTCTCACACCACTGCAGTGGCAAATAAAATGAATAAAAAAAAAGAGGTAAGTATTATCATAAAAGCCAAGAAAAATATAGTATTTTACCCCTTAGCATTTCATAATAAGATCTATTCTGCACTGCTCAGCTCTAACATAAATTATAAAAAAACAAAATTTGCATAATTCTCATTTCCTTTGTTCTTTACTGTAATTTGCTCCTGTAATCCAGCAACTAAAACTTGGTGCCAAAAGACAAAGATCCTTGAAAGAATGACTGACCTCTACTGACTCTCTCCTTGAAAAATCCTGGTGCCAACACAACCACCTACTTTTTTTGCAAGAATAATCAGACAAGTTTGTTGCCCATATGTGTAGTGCGTGTACTCAAAGGATTGAAAAAAAATAACCGTTAGTATACGATGCAGTTGGTTTCAAGACATCAAATCTAAACAGAAAAGCATATCCTTGTAATATTCCTACAATGACTGAAAATCTAAATGAAAAGAGATTCAAACAACTTGCCGAGCTGATATTGTCTTGATTCTTCTTGACTCTCTCTATCTCAGGAGTGACACTCACAGCAGTAGCTTTGCCAGGCTGCTCTCTGTAGTGAACCTATTTAACAGAATGGTACATACTATTCCAGCTAAAGCGGTATCACATTGTATTACATTAAAATGCATGACTTAAAAGGTCATCCAGGAAACAACTGAAAAGCTAAAATACATTTGAAGTTTATTTAAGCTTATAGAACCTGATTTTTGAAGCATAACCTTGAATTCTTTCTGTATAATCATCTTATTAATTCATTTGTGCGGATATATATACACATATGCACACAATATCTTGACATTTACCACACTGGTCTTTGGCAGTATAGAGAAGTATCTTATATTTGGAATGGGGTAAGCTACACATAATGCAGTAAAGTCAAGCAGAGCAAATGAAAAAATTGAATTTCAGCAATGCCCGCTGTAAATGTATATTTGTCCAGACAAAGAGATTCTGTAAGGATACCATGTTCTAAATTTTATACTCTATGTATTCAAAGGTGATTAAATGCAGGGAGTGTAATACCTTGACAACTGCCAATTAAATCCAACTGCCTAAATTTCACCATGTGTTTATTTAAATGTACCACAGGAATATCCCTTCTATCGCTTTTTAACAAAATACACTTGTAGCAATGATGCATTAACCAAACGCACACGCAAGGCAGGATCAGTACCTAAAGAGGATAAAGGATATGATGTGGCATTGACAGACCAAACAGTCTAATGTTAACCCCAGCCCCAAATACTAGGAACTCTGATATGGTACACATTTAAGTATGTAATTAGAGATTTTTGCACAATTTATGCCAATCCATATAGTTTTATGTAAAAGAAACATTTCCAAACAAACTTTTTTTTTTTTTTTAAATAAGCTCTTGGTTTTGTGTGATAAGGATAACTGTGCTGATACATTACGCTCATAATTCTGCAGTGCATTGTGGCATTAACATACATATTGTTCAAGTAATTGTCTTCCCACACCACACAGTTTTGGTCTGTCCACAACAACATATTCCAATTGAAAAATTAACATCTTGTAAAAATGATGGTAAGCTATCAAATGGATTAAACTTGCAAACTGACATTTGTAAAGATAAAAAGATTATTCAAGACTTAAAATTTCTAGAGACGTCTCAAGTTAAAGAATCTTTGCCCAAAGCTATTCCAGTGATCTGAAAGAGAATTTAATCTTTCCAGTGAAATTTGCACAACATAAAAATTGGTGAAAGGTAAACAATGATGTGGAGCAGAACAAGTACACAGACTGGCTTGAATCACCTGGGAAAACAGGTTTGTCTGAACAGCGCGCATTTTAGGAGAGCTAGATATATCAACATAAATCCAGGAATAAATAGCACACACTGAAGTTAGAGGGACAGTATTCTTGAAAATTGTAACTCTAAATTAATTTGGGGAACATGGCAGAAAACACCCCAGGGAAATATGTAGCTATTTGCAGCTCCAACCAATATGGCTGCCAATGGCAGCTCCCAGAGAGGAGAATGGCTGGTCTCTCAAAGATGCATTAACAAGGTACAACTTCAGCAAGGCAGGAAGGCAGCAGTGTGCTCCAAAAGCCCTTACCTTCTTCCTTGTGCTCCTGCAAACGGTATGACTTTCTAATGGTTATGTCAGCCATTAAATACTAAACTCTGATAGGAAGGTTAGTAAGACAGCTGGAACTTGAATACAACTGTGGCCTGTATTTCGCAAAGGAAATTAAAAAAAAATCTGGAGAAGGATATTTTGTTAAAAAAAATAAATCCGTCAAGATTTCCTGCAAATATCCAAGACAGAGAGTAACATCTCAAAACATTGCAGCCATTTCTTTAATTATGTGCTGCTTCACATGCCATTTCCCAAATCAAGAAATGGCTTGTCACTATTGCCTCCTAAAAGAAGGTTTTCAAGTAATTCTATTACTGAGCCCGCACTAACTAAAGGAAAGGCACAGCTTCTAGAGGCAGAACTTTGAACTCATCCTCTGCACCCAAAAATTATACAAAGTATTAAACGAGAGCAACTTCCCATGCTGACATTCTCTTGATTCCTCTTGACTCTTTCAATCTCAGGGGTGACACTCACAGGCGTAGCTTTGCAGAGCTGTTCTTTGTACTGAACCTAGCAAACATGGCAGGAGATATTATACAGACTTCCAAGTAACAGAAATACAAGTGTGTTAGACATCATTAAAGAGCACACTGCATTTGGATGGAAATCACCATTCCTTCATAAACACCCGCATCTTTCCACAAGGTATTTAGTATTCGCAATTCTTCTATTTCAGACACAGACAATTGATACTTCAACAAGAATACTTCACCCTCGTTGATGTTAATCAAAGTGCAAGGCTAAGGAGTTAATTTACCATTAATTGATTAAATTAGTCTTTGTGGACAAACAGGAACTAGCACAAACACCACAGACATATTCACTGAGGTACAAACACATTTAATACAGCAGAGAGAAGTTGTGCAAGCAATGAAAATGGGGCACACATTGCTGATATTCTTCTGGTTTTCCTTAACTCTCCTTATTTCAGGCGGATCAGAAATACTTGTTGCATGCTGAATTTCTTCCTTGTATTTAATCTGCACAATAAATATTACAAGGTATTAGTAATTTTAAAAAGATACAGACAAGCACTAAAACACAACAAACATTCTGTGATCTCTCCCTTATACATACAGCTTGACCACACCTATCAACACTATTTGGAACAGTTATATTTAAATTCTGAAACAGGCTGCTAGGTTCTCCAATGCATCTTGTTTGATACAATGCAGCAGGGAGAGCATATAACAAAAGTCTAGCATCCTAAAGCTCTTACAGTGAGTATATATATCACATGGGACTGCGGCTATCTTCATGATAATTGGGATGCTGCATATACTACTCAGAGACCTGCATCACTCTGAGAATGACTTGATCTTGCTGTTATCTTGCTATGGAGTCTACCAGTCCATTTCAGAAACCAAACATTTCTCAGATGTGCAAGGGTGGATGACTTGAAAGTCTCATTCAAGTTCTCTAAAAAAAACAGGCATATCAGGGAGAATGCAGAGTTTCGATGGATGATGCCGGCTTTGAAGATATTATCAGATATTTACTGTTGCTTTTGACACATTTAATCTCTCCTAAACAGCAATATGTTTGGTTATGGTAGACTCCATAACTTGAAAGATGCACATAACCAGAATTTCTTCAATTATACACCATAGGTACCAAAACTGGAATTCAACTTAAAGGGAAAGAATTGTAAGGCTAAGTGGATGCGGCACTAAAAAGAAAGGCATCATATTTTCTGGTTTTCCATATGCTATCTAAACTGGTCACCTTGGACAAACCTGTGCATTGTCTCTGTCTGTTATTAAATACCTGTCCAGTATTCAGCTTCAAATCTCTTACGCCACTGTACAAACAGTACTCGTAGACCATGCCATCCTTTACAGTGATAAGGCATGCTTTGTTTTTCTTTACAATGCTAATAAAACGGCAAAGTTCACAGAAACATTCAATAAAATTGTGCATGCAGTGATAACATAATAGTTGGAAACATATTTCATTAGAAAGACTCAAGAAAGCAAAAGTACTTTAAGAACAAGGGAACAGCACAGTGAATCAATATGTACAATTTATATTAACGTGTCATACAAAACTTCTGTTAAATACATTTTAAGGCTGCAAAATCAAGGACTTAAAAATCAGAAAGTGATACAATTAACTTAAATGTAACCTTGCCCCTTGTACAAGTATGTTCCATATACAGCTTTTAACATATTTTATACTACTTAATTATTTTCCTCTTTATGTGCTTTATAACCTTCTTTATCACCAAAAGCTGTTTTTCTCCAGAGAATTCTGCCTCATTCATTACATATGATCAATGACCCTCACTTAGGGAGTAGCTTGCATGTGGACCATGACTGATGTTGGGGTTTTTTCTTTAACTGCTCTAAGGCTGTATTTTGATGACTGAATTACTGATTTCTTCAGGAACTTTTCTATGTTGCTCCTTGCTAAAGCATTTGAGTTTTTCCACACACATTAATTCACTAATTTTGCTGTGAAATGAAGAAAAAGGGACCTATGACAAGGAAAAGTACTATTTTTACTAGACAGAACAGCTAATCTAGCTACATAATTTTAAAAAACATACCATTATACAGCACCTGCGTTCAAATGGGAATTCCCATTGAACTGTAGTTTGCAAAACAGAAAACCAGAGCAGGTCCACTTCCATGGCAAAGTATAAAGTTATATACTTTGGCAATGGATCATCAGGTCCAGACACAGGGACTTGAACTCAGGTCCTTGCTTCTGAGTACTGACTTAGTGACCTTAATAATACTTTCTAAAGTACCACTCAGGGAGGCAATTTCTCATGACTTAAAAAACTACAAATGTACATTCCTTCATGTGCCTTCATCTTAAACCCCTTGTGGTTTGTTTAGATTGACTGCACAAACCCATGAGAACAATTGTAGTTTGTTACCTCTGTAGACACCAACATTAAAGAAAGGGAAAATATTTGACCAAGGATACACCTCAAATACATGCTAATGGTGAGGGAGTAATGAGTCTAGATTACCTTGGGTTCTGTTTCAGCTCTTCTGGAAGGAAGCACCTATGCACAGGAGCACATCACTCTGCCCGTATTTCCCCACATCTGGCCTACCCACTTCGACCAAGCCCTTCTACACTTTCAGTTCCTCACCCCTGGCCTCTTTTTTCCCAAATCCACTCTACCAAATGTCACTTAGTAGATAACTTTCAACTCTCTTCTCCAAGACATGGTACTTTTGGGAGTGCCAAATTTTTTAACAGACAAAACAACTTGTTTTTCTTTAAGTTCATACTTGGAATGTGCTTTGGCTGAAATTTACAAATAAAACGAAACCAGCACAAAGCACAGACCAGGAATGGAAAATTTCAGTCCAGACAGTTTAAGACTAGCAGAAGTACTAAACCACTGGGAAAAAAAAGGTCTTTTAATAGAGACTATTAGGTAAGCTTAAGAGTTGGCAGTGCTCCTAGTCCTTAAAATGCTTCAAAACATCCATTGCTTGAGTTTTAATCAGATCCCAGCTTTGTGGTGTTAACTGAAATAGCACAGGGGTTTCCGCACGGATTTCACACAAACACAAAATTACAAACTTCCTCCAAAAGCCTTCTTCCCAATGTTGTGTCCAACCATGCCTGTCCCTCAATACAAACAAGTTTTTAACAAATTCTTAGTTATTTGTAGCTTCTCATTTCGGATTCAGTTACAGTCCATGGGTCTGACGTTTGCTTTTAAAGTTCTGTGAGATCTTGACTCCAACTATTTAGGAGGCTGCTTCTTCCAAACCAGTGATCACAACAGGTGAGATGAGCTCAACTGCCTTGGCTGTCACCACCTTGTTTTTTAGGATTTGGAAACTGACCGTTCTGATCTTTGTCTCCAGCATATCTCATCTGGAAGAATCTCATCACCTTCAGAACATGATGCACTGGACTTTTTTGCATGGTTTGGTCGTACAGCGAGTGTTATTTTGGTTTGCTGTTCTGGGGTTTTTTGCACTGCAGATGTGCTTCACATTTCATAGTTCCATTTATTTCAGCAAACAGTTTTAAAGCTGTCCTAAGTCCTTCTGGCTAAATTCAAAGATTTGTGTAAAAGGTTTAAATCTAATGGGAGTCAAAATTGATGTAATTTACCCTTCCTTTGGGGCTCCTGTAAAGTACAGAATGTAATTTCCCACTTACTCTAAAAATTTCTTGCACACTGCCTTTCAATTTGGCATTCTACACTTTCATTAAATATCACACAAGACTTAAGTAATCTCAAGTATACTACATGTAATAAAATATCTTTTGTAAAACATTAATTCTACACACAGACTAGGCAAGGTAAAGGCCACGCTACTTACATCATACCACTAAATTGCTACTGCATGTTGTGTTTCTCATTATATGCTTTTGTTCAAGCGTGTTTACTAGCATACTGATCCACCTTTCATTCTTAACCAAAAAGCCAAAACCCAACAACAACAAACCCACACATCAAGAAAAGCTACAGCTTCCCAACCGGAAATATTATTTCAGGATTTATGACACATGGTAGCTTGCACTGAATCTTCAAATTGCACTGTGACTTAAAATGACAGGATGAAAAGTGATGGATGGGGCAGAGAAAAATTCCAAGGACAATATGAGTTTTTCAAGATTTTATGGAAATTCCTTACTTGACCTTACTTTGGTGGGAAATGCAGATTTTAACACTAATAATCAGTAAACAAGGAAATTCTAATAGAACAGGTGTCCAAAGTCCCTGATTTGGATTTCAACTAGTATTTAAACACAATCTAGTGTCATGTCTGTGTGTTACTTTCAAACTTTTTTTTTAAAAAAAAACCATCTAATCGTCAGAGAAGTCACATCACAAACATAAAAATGGCCCCAGAGGACTCTGCACCAAAAATTCCAAACAAGTGAACAACACAGCTACAACTGTTTTCTTGCTTGGCAGTCACTTTTCCACTTTTTTTCCAAGTTTTGCCACATATTTATCAGAAGAGTATGTTCCACATGTAGAAAACTTTCATTTTGATATTTTATTTTTAGCTGCCCATTAAAGTGCCAAGGACTTTGGGCATCCATAGATAAACAACATCAATTCAGAACCAGTCTCATTAGAGCCACAGATCAATTTGTCATCAGCACATAAAGAGGCACAAACTCTCCATCTTTTCACATAGCTCAAGTCTGGACATAATCTACTTATTCATGAAGTGCAAACTGTACCAAGCCCTACATAATACATGCAGACTCTAAGGAACTTTACAGATTTTCTTTTTTGTGATATTTTTCTAAATTGCAAATTACAATTGCTGTTCAGTTTGTCATATCAAGAAATAAATTTCATGTTTCTCACTTGTCAAAGACAAAAATCTTTCCTCAAATATTTAGTTAAAAGTTTTTCCTATTTTTCATGGTGCTTTGATTTGAAACTCTACCTTTGGACACAGAAGAACCACACTAGAGTGGAGCTCTAGCTCTGCTAGAATGGAGCTCTCTATCCAAAATCCAGTGGAGCGGTACTTGAATAAGATGTGTGATACAAAAACATAGAATTTTTAGTAAAAATAACAGAAAAAAATTTGATCACCATTTACTCACATAAGAATAATTAATGTTAATAACACTTACTGAGCTAATAGTCTGTTGATTTTTCTTTACTCTTTCAATCTCTGGAGTCTCTTTTACAGCTGTGCCAGCTCCTACTTCCTTCTTATAAAACACCTTCATTTCCCCAAAAGAAAAAGTAATTATGAGACTATTAGCAGTGCAAGTGCAAATTCTCATAAAAGGGCTGGGCAATTTTCCAAGTTCCAAATTGGTCTGACTATAAATCTTGCTAAGAAAGCAAATACTTTAATTTTTCATAAATCAGACCAATTATCAATAACCATAACAACATTCTGTTTGTTTTCAACTGTAACACAGATAATCTATTATCATCCTTTATACTGACCTCAAACATGTGTAAGTATTTGTAATGACAGTTTTAACTTTGGAAATAATATTAAAATTTAGATCATAATCTATAAACATTTACAAATGCGACTTCATGCTTGAGTAATCTCACACGTTTCAATGTATTTGAACATGATGTACATGCAAGTTTTGAATTGTTTTTTTTTAATCTTCAGATCTTAAAGTACTCTGAGAAGTGAGCAGATATTATTATTTCTAATTTAGCAAACTAGAAAATCAACATATTCATGACAAAACGCCCAGAACAGCCAAAGCTACAGTCCAAGTCATGCAAGTTTTTGATTTCTGGGTTCAAGCCAGAAAGCTGAGGACTGCATCTAAAAGCAAAGCTCACTTCAGAAGAGATACACATGCTGTTTCTAAAGTTCTCCTCTCTATTTCAATTGTTTCAGTAAAGGACAAAACACAAAGTGCATCAGTAGAATCAATCATTCAAAATTACTGAAAGAGAAGTAAACAACTGCTCCACAGATTCCAAATGTGGCTATAATTTAAATAACTATGGAGCACCAGTTCATGCTGCAAAACTCCTCAAGAAGTTTTATTTATGGTGGATTGAGAGGAATCTCGGGGAGAAGGACTTGGGCGTGCTGGTGGATGATAGATGAACATGAGCCAATAGTGTGCACTTGCAGCCCAAAAAGCCAACCGTATCCTGGGCTGCATCAAAAGATGTGTGGCCAGCAGGTCCAGAGAGGTGATTCTGTCCCTCTACTCTGCCCTTGTGAGACCCATCTGGAATACTGCGTCCAGCTCTGGAGTCCCCAACACAAGACAGACACAGAGCTTTTGGAAAGAGTCCAGAGAAGGGCTACCAAGATGGTCAGAGGGTTGGAACACCTTTCCTACAAGGACAGGCTCAGACAGCTTGGCTTGCTCAGCCTGGAAAAGAGAAGGCTCCAGGGAGACCTTATAGTGGCCTTCCAGTACCTTGAAGGGGGCCTACAAGAAGGCTTGGGAGGGACTTTTTACAAGGGCCTATAGTGACAGGATGAGGGGTAATGGCTGGAAGCTGGGAGAGGGCAGGTTTAGACTAGATCCAAGGAAGAAGTTCTTCACCCTGAGGGTGGTGAGACACTGGAACAGGTTGCCTACGGAAGTTGTGGATGCTTCATTCCCCGCAGTGTTCAAGACCAGGTTGGATGGAGCCTTGACCAACCTGCTCTAGTGGGAGGTGCCCCTGCCCATGGCAGAGGGGTTGGAACTAGGTGATCTTTGAGGTCCCTTCCAACCCAAACCATTCTATGATTCTATGATTTGAATTTCAGTATTTGGTGTCACAACTGTTGCCATTCCAGTAAGTATTTCCAGGCTGGTAGTATAAAAACAAGTCTGATCCTCAAATTCATAAAATAAATCTTCACTGTTTAGTATTTCTGCCTTTCTTAAACCAAGATTTATTTAATGGGTTTTCTCCTATCAATAAACCTTAAACAATAAAACATATTCTTGATGCATTTCTTCTAATTCCTTGAAGTCTTCCGTAACATACAATGACCAGTACTGCCAAATATTCTAGAGGCAAGTGAATTATTTATGTCCATAACTCATCTTTTAAATATTCAGAAAACTTCTAACAATTTAGAATTCTGTTTTACTCTGTCAGAACAAAGACAGTTTATGTGTAAGAACTTGAAAATTCTTCTGTACCAACATGTCAGTACAAGGTAGAAAGATTTACACAGTGGACTGAACCAAAATACACTATTTACCTCTGCCAAGGAGAGAGTGGCAAAAAAAATGTTTGAGCGAGGAAATTTTCTATGAAAGAGATGACTGTGCAGTAAATATTCTAACTGCCAAATGAGCTAGTGAGCTAAAAGCAGCACCGATCTTATCTGCAGAGCTAGCCACTTTTTTTTCCCTTAAGGCAGGAAAATACTTGAAATGAAATCCAAAAATCAGAAGCCTGTTAGGGGTCATTAATTTTTTTTTTATATTGGGGCTCCTTCCAGCTCTACCTTATCTTAGTGAAAAGTAACATCTTTGTAATCTAAATTGCACAGAATGCTGAAAGATTAAAATGTAGAGTAAGAAGAAAAATAACAATTCAATCACAGCTATAAACTGCTTTTCTACATTTGGAGGATCCAGTTCAGAAATAGAAAAAGAATTATCACAAAACAAAGCAAACACAAATCACTTCAAAGACAAAATATTTTTATTTCCTATCACCTAGTATACTAACAAAGAGGATAATTATCAGCCTTGGCATTGAAAGCTCAGACTGGCCAACAGGGCTGCAAGGGGTTCAGAAGCATCACAGGCTTGTCAAGACTTAATTAAGTAGGGGAAGGTTATTATGTCTCTGATGTCTTAACCGTTGGTGAGTCCACACTGCCAGACCCACCGACCTGTTTGAGGACTCAATCGAAAGCTATCAAGGACCAGAGCAGGGAGGAAGGCAGATCAGTAGATGATAGCTTGGACCCGCTCTGTTACATGGAGTTTCAGTGTAGCATGTTAGGATGCCAGTGACATGAGATACGGTGCTCATCACCGTCACACTGTGCAGCAGAGCACCATTCAAAACCAAGAGGCAACAGATCACAAGAAACAAAATTGGGGCCAGTGGGCCTGTCAACAGCCCCCATTAGGAAGATGGAGCTTTCAGCTGCTCCCATCTGAAGGAAGAAAAGGAACAGGTAATGGCTGGAAGATGTCACAGGAGAGACCACTGCCTAGCGCAGCCTCAGAGACTTTTCTCTCCTCTCCTTGTAGGCTCTTACTCCCCTAGTGAAGCTGCAGCAATATGGGATAGATGCAGGTAAACACCTCTGAGTGAAACTAATTGACCTTGTACTCATGCAGAGTTGGAGAAGCAGAGAATATCTCTAAGAACATCTGTGTCAGATAATATAATCATTTGCTTTATTTGTATTACTTAGTCTGCCATAAAAAACAGACACTAACTGGACAGCCTCTGGTTCTGGAGGCTATATTTACTCCTCTTCTCCTCTCCGTCATATTAAAGCAAAGTCAGAACTACAAACAGCAGAATTAATGGGCCCAAAAAGGAAATGGAACTGAATGCATCCCAAAAGGGGCAATTTTAGAAATCTAAGCTCATCATTTATATTTAGGGATAAACTGAAACTTAAGTCTAGCATAAAATTAAAAAAATATATCCAGTATAACATAAAATCATTAGACATGTATATTTATGAAACCTGATCTGTTCTAATTTTATACCCGAATCTCAATGTTCTGTACATATGATAGGAAACAGATGAAAAATCTTACATGCACAGTAACAAGCCTGGAATTTTTTTTGTCCTTTTAAACAAGGTACTTCCTGGAGCTTGATGGAAAAAGAAAAAAAATCTTTATTTAAAAATAACTGTGGCTTGGCAAGGTAGTATAAGTTGTTTAACAACTCAAAATAACAGTGTCACACCTAGAAAAGCTGGGTATGTTTTTTACCGAAAGAAACTAGTGATACAGCTTTTGCCAGGAAAATTATGCAAATGGTTCAAAGGGCATTTACTCATAAGTTCCCTATTCCATGCTGTGGCACAAGGAAGCCTATTTAAATTGAAAAATATCTGAAAAGTTGCAAGCAAAGAGAGAAGCACCATTACTCACTGAACTGATGTTTTTCTGAGTACTTTTTATCCTTTCCATCTCTGGAGTGTCTGGGACAGCAGAATAGTTACAGAGCATCTTCTCAGCTTCATCTTTGTAGATTTTCTGAAAAAATAATTTTTAAAAGCTTATTTCTTGCTTTCTTGGGCTCAGAATATCCAAACTGCAACAAAAGATGCTTACTGAACTGATGTTTTTCTGAGCACTTTTTATCCTCTCCATCTCTGGAGTGTCTGGAACAGCAGAATAGTTACAGAGCATCTTCTCGGCTTCATCTTTGTACATTTTCTGAAAAATAATGTTAAAAAGTCCATTTCCTGCTTTCTTGGACTCAGAATATCCAAACTGCAAAAAAAGATGCTTATTGCTGATGAGCCTCAACATCCTTTTACAGTATTGATTTCAACCTCTCTCCTCCATGATATTGTTACTGTTGCCTGTGTGGGACACCTGACACTGTGTCGCACGCTGAAAATATATGTATTTTATATATATAAAACATATTCTCATATATATTATATATTTTCCCTTCACTGTCAGGCTATATATATCCTCCTCATTAGGCAATGTAAAAAGACCTGCAAGTAGACGTAAACAATTCAATTTATATGGCATGACAGGCCTAAATACAAATTAGAATCAGGCAATAAGACTTCGCTACATGTAAATTAATTTAATACAGGTGTGAAAGCCTCTACAGAGGTAAAGAAGAAGTATTTTGAGCAATGTATATCAAGCACTCATTGTGACACAGAATTAAAACATTCAGCCTTTGAACTATGCCCACCTGGCTTGCTATTTCTGAAGCCCTTTTGACGCGTTGTATTTCAGGAGTATGTGGGCCAACTTGCATCCCTTTTCCTATAATTTCAGTCTCCAGATCCTTTTTGTATTCTTTCTGAAAGGAAAAGGAGGAAAAAGAAACCATAACTAATCCTACAGTTATTGGTGCTTGCTGTCTTCAAAGGTATTCTGATAGCACTGGGTCAGACTCTGAAATAAATTCTTCAATTTCTTTCATTTATTTTTGTTATTGTGCACTGCTGATTGCTTTCAGCCCAAATATGTTTGAGAAGATTTCATATTTTCAACACCTCATTGTGTTTTACTTCGAAAGTAATCTTAAGAGATTCACTCTGTACTCACCTGGCTTACAATTTCAGAAGCTTTTTTGGCTCGTTGTATATCAGGGGTATCCATGCCCACTCCCATTCCCTTTCCTTTAATTTCATTCTCCAAGTCTTTTCTGTATTCTTTCTGAAAAGAACAGCATTGGAAACACTTATGTGTCTGACAGCCAAATTCTTAAATTGTTCCTACTTTAATATGTGCGGTTCCACTGAACAGCATTCTTAAAACACCAAATAACTGTTGATTCAACAGCACTAGCTTTATATGATCTATCTACAAGACACCTATGCTGTAGCTGCTGACCAGCTGAAAAATTCTTTTAACAGATTGCTTACTTCAAATTTGACATAGCCTTTCATGTCTACCTGTCTTTGTAGCTTTGGCAGCCACAATCACAGACTCATGTAGACGAGAATTTCTCCATTGGCTGTGCTTTGCAAGACTGGGGTCATAAGGCTTTAGCATCTCGCTAACTCTGTTTACCATTTGTCCCTAACTAAACATGCAGCTACTTAGACCTAAAAGCAGTAGGCCCACAGCTACCGAGCAAAGGCTAAGCCAGGTGTAGTTTACAAGGAACAAGCACTACCTGCGAAAGATGACAGAAAGGTCAAAGTTCTAGGCAGTCTTAACTTTCCCCTGTACACTGATTATGCAACTTTTAGACTCTATGCAGCTCAATAGATAAGGTATTTTGGTCATATTTGTAGTATTGCTATATATCGCCTAAGTTTGTCACTGCCAGGAATTCTCAGTGACAATAATTTGTTGCATTCTGTCAATGGAAAGCACCAGATATGGTACTGACCATGCTTGCAATTTCAGAAGCTTTCTTGGCTCGTCTTATCTCAGGAGTATCTGGACCAACTTGCATGCCCCTCCCTTTAATTTCGGTTTCCAGGTCTTTCTTGTATTGTTTCTGTGAAGATAAAACTTCATACGTTATATTCACAATAGCCAGAGAGTTAAAAGTAGATTTTTTGCACAAGAGATCCAACGTTAAGATTCACAATCAATCAAAAATCTCAAGTTGAGTCACAACTCTCAATCTCTCAGGCAATCTTTTATCAGGAAAACACATAAACTACAGGAGGAAAACTTCAGGGGATATTCACTGAATGTACAAAACTCTACTACTGAATTTTTAATTTGGCAGAGACTGGAGGGAAATCAGTCCATACAACTTGCTACAATTATCCTCTAAAGTAATGGGGAAGTTTCGCTATGCAGAACATACTGTAATAAGCTGGTACTTGGTGCCAGCCTAATTGAAACACATGTTAAGAAAATATTTTATTTATGAAAAGACTACACGTTAGAAACTCAATACCATACAGAATTGTTTCCAGTCAACTTTCAGAGCACGAGGTTGTAATTTATTCATTTAATAGGTCTTTCCTGAACCACAACCGTGACAGTACTCATCCATGATTGCTGCTTTTTCCTTACAACATAAATTATAAATTACCAATAACCAGGAAACAAAATGGATATTTCACCTTCAGCTTATCCAAGCCAGGATATATTTCTTGCTCATCAGCAAATGATATTAAAATGTTATACTGAAATATTGTATACAATAGCTGCACTTTTTTATTTTATTAAAAAATTAAGAATCTCAGTCAGTGCTAGTTCTACCACTAGAGTAGTAATCCCTCTTTTTCTATTCTAGTTTATCCCCATTTGTGAAAAACACGGTGGGTTTTTTTCCAAAATAAATACATATAATTAAAAAATTTCTTCTTACTTTTCATGTTTGCTAGTTATTTTTTAGGTTGTACATTAGTTAGAAAAAAAGAGGGAAATGGCAATCAGAATGGTCTGATCACTTACAAGAACAAGAGCAAAAAGACTTTTAGTCTTCCATCTGTCTCTGATGTGGAAATGAATGTGATAAAACAGCTCTCTACTTCACAAACCACACTTTTTTTGCAAAAAGTGTAAGCTAACCTGTAAGAAGACATCATCCCTCACTTCCTCTCTGCTAAAGGTGGAACTGCAGATGTTTCCTCCCAGCTTCATATTGTGTAAAACACCAAGGAAAAGATAATCCTGAGAGTTACAGCTATACATTCCCGCACTTCTTTACAGCAGTCAGATTGGCCCTATGCATGCCATTCCTTCTGGTTCTCACAGCTAGGTATGTACATGTGAGCAAATAAACATATAAATATACACATATATATTAAATTAATATAAAATATATAAATATATGAAATAAATATATGTATTGCTCTGAAAGAATGACCACCTGAAGGCACGAAGTGCAGCACAAACTTTGCCTTCCCTCTCCCCTCCCGCCCCACTGCTGCTTCCCAGGCAGCCTGTGCAAGCCGCTCCACAGGAGCTGCAGCCATGCCAGCATTGGAGCTCACAGCTCTGCTGACCACACAAGCTTGCCTAGCACGAGTTGCTCAGTGTGCTCTTCAAGAGACCACATACATAGATCAATGAGTCTTCCACTCCCAGCCCTTCAAGGAGAGTAGGTCACACACTTACAGGCTTCCATGTAACCCCCAGAGCAACTCAGACCAACACAGTTAACAGTAAAGTTCCGTTCTAAAAATATACACTGGAAGGAGCCTCCACCTGTCTGTTTGCATTGGATGAACCGCAAGCTCAAGAAAACCCATTTCTTCAGGAGCAACTCTGCTTTTGGAAAAGGTTTTCACAAGCAGAATAGTTTGTTTGGATAAAAGATCTTCCCAAGATGGCTGGCAGTCATTAACAACATTTATTTTATTTTCAGATAGCAGTATATGATTCCAAAAAGCTCAAAATTATTTAATTGACTTTTCTTTACAAGTCCATTAACAGTCAACTCTTTCTCCATTACATTATACTGTCTGAACAAATAAATAGATGGAAAATTAACCCAGTTTTAAATGCTCTATCTACTGACCCCACTAACAACTTCCACTGACCTTTTAATTGCCTGAAAACCTGAAATATTTGTCATAAGTTGTTGGTTTTTCCAGACCTTTTCTATATTCTTAAGGCAAAAACAGAAATAGCCTTAGTTTCAATACTTACAAATTCCATTGTAGATTATGTAAAAAAAAAAAAAAAAAAGGAATATTTTCAGTCAAGTATAACATAAAAAGTGAGCTTTCTGTGACATCAAAAAGTTTGACTAGCACAACATACCTCATTTAGTATCTGAGCTGCGTTTTTCACTCTAATCAAATCTGGTGTATCTTCAAACACTGTCATTCCTTTTCCTTTCATCCCTTCTTCCAAATCTTTTCTATACTGTTTCTAAGGATTTAAAAAAAAAAAAAAAAAAAGAGAGATTTCTCCACTTAATACTGTGGGCAAGATCTTGAAAAGAAATGCCACTTATTAAATATCTGAAAGGTCTCTGAAATTTCTATGAAATATGAATTAGCTGAAGTACAGGTTTCAAGGTTAAAATAGAATTGCAAATTATTAAATCAAAAGTTACAGTGCTGAAAAAGTGAAAAGGTTTTAATATAGTCATGTATTTTCCTGTTGTGCTCTTGAAAAACAGTCCTCTCCTATACAGCACCAGCACGTTGTTTAGGGCCCTCAGCTGCCTCTCTACCGACATTTTAACTTCAGTAGCATTTGCTTTTACAGACCAATATATGCTGTGCTGGAGTTTTCACCTCTGTTTCACTAATGACACCACAATCAGAATGGATGCCTTGAACACTATACTAGGACCTGCTTGATAAATTATAATGTAGAAGCATTATTCCTACCATATCACTTCTGCGCCCTTCTGACACTGCACTGATACAACCTATCAACATTTAGCAACTGCAGCCTCCAGAGTACTCAAATGTTCAGTATAAAATTAAAAGCACACTAGAACCTCCCCATGGACATTTGGTTCTTTTTCCTCTTCCCAGTTCCCAGAGAGCTGAAGTAAGCCTACTGAAGTTCAAGATCTTTAAGGTTTATAAGGATTTTTAATTGCTCTTCCCATCTCCAGGTTTGGGTTAGGCTTTTTTAAGCAAGAAACTAGAACAAAATTGAAGAAAATATTTTTAGAAGGATTTTTATATAGACATGAATAAATACTCCTAATCATGTATTAAAATCTATAAGCAGCAGCGAGCACCTTCGTCTCCATATAAGCTCTTTATTTAAACAAAAGGAAACCAGGTATTTTTAAAGAAGCTTCTCTCTGTTATCAGAAGCATGTCCTAAAGCAACCAGGAAACAACTTAGCTGAATTTAATAGTTCTAAATTAATAGATCTCTTCTGAAGGAGTTGTGAATGTGGTTGCAAAGAAAGTTCTTATTGTTACAAATGTGAAATATTTGCAGAATTCTCTACAGTGGGAAGGCAAAAGAATAAGTTGGAACACAGCTGACACTTAAAAAGTAATTGAATAAATTATTAATCTCCTAATAACTCCTGGTTCTCCCTCTTCTTTCACGCCGTGTCTATCTAAAGTCTTATTACGAACCATCACAAAAATACTGAGTTACATCCTTGACTATGAAGAAATACATCATTTTGCTGATCTTGAAAGGTAATAATTAATTTGACTTATGGAATCTTTGGTTTTGGAATCTGTTCCTTGAATGTGGATATAAAATCATATGAAATTCATGCAGTTATGCATTAAAATACCATTTCAATTTTCTCATATTCTTCCCCTCTGACTTACAAGCATGGTTTACTCCCTAAGTAATGAGTCATAAAACTTGAGGAGGTGAGAATTAGGAAACATCTTCATGCATGTAGCACTACTGAGGGAAGTTACAACAAAATTTTCAGACGAACATTTACAGCACATCTGCAATGCGTGCAGTAAGATCAACCCAATGAAATGCAAGCATTTTCATGTTTCCTTAGTCAGTAGGCATATGTGAGACTTGTATCCACAGAACGGTACTGCACAAACTAGATCTAGCTTGAGACTTGTCTACATGACAGCCAAGCTTATCGGAATAAATTATTTATTAGAGGATGAATAATAAAGAAATGTCCGAAAAGAAAATCTTTTCATTACCCATATGAAATTCAGCATAGACTGGTTGTTTAAAGAACAAGGAAAGGAACAAGAGTTTTTATTTCTAGCACCCTCAATTCATTCACCTGGGCCACAGCAAAAACATCAATTCTTAATACATAAAATGTAAACAAGGTACTTTTGGCTCCCAAATTCAAATGGAGGATACCTAGTAGCTCTGACATTTCTAACTATGAATTTTGCCAATACATTTACTTCTAAATTTGGTCAAACAGTAAACTAAAACTAATCTATAGAACCAACCAATACTCAAAACTTAACTTGAAAACAGTTGTGAATAACAATATAAAAAGACTAAAGATAGAAGGATTCCCAGTAACAGAAAACAGGTAATTTATTTTGTAATGCCACATACAACTGAAGAACACTGGACAAATCTTAAAGAACCAATGGGCATACAGAAAACTGCACCTTTAACAAAATTTGCTTAAAGCAGATTATATAATGTCACAGATATATTATGGAATTTTGTTCTTCTTTATTTTCATCTGTAACACGTATGATAGATAATTATTTCAATTATCTATGTGACTACACACAGCTCAAGGCATCCATATAATGACAACAGGCTATCATAAACCGAAATAATTACTCAAAAGGAAAAACTGCCATCTGGACACCAACAGAAATCCTCATTTCTACCTCTTCATCAATCTGGAAAGAAAACTTCAAGCCCTCTCCAAAACCCTATCAAACAGATGCCTATTGCAGCATGCCTGGAAAGTCACCATCTTTGAGCTATTTGGGCCCAGGGGAGGAACAAATTACAAAAGTGAGACTCTCAAAGGGAAAGTCCTGCCAAGGATCCATTTTCTCTGGAGTCACCTGATTTGTTCATTTAACTCTGGTTTTCTGGTTCAGGTGTGCTAAGCTTTATCACACCCTTATGCTGATAACAAAACTTCAAAAAGTATCAACTCTTACTACAGGACTATTCAGAATATAAAATGACATAGAGCAATTTTTACTCATGAAGTCACTTCTGTATTTACCTACCAAGCTAATTATAAGTTGTTCAGCACTCAGTAGCTTGTAGTGACACTGCTTATTGCTCATTTACAACTTAACTCAAAAAAAAAAAAAAAAAAAAAAAAAAAAAAAAGGAAGAAAATTCCTCTACCTCTTTCAGAAGGTTAGTGACTTGTTTTATATGCAAGAACTCTGGGGTCTTGTCTAAATCCATTGAGGGTCTTCCCTTGATCCCTTCTTCAAAATCTTTGCGATACATTTTCTATTGAAGCAAAAACAATAATTAATGGTACATGCATGTGCATTTCCAAGCATATTTCGGATAGAACACTGTAAACAGAGAGCCATGCCTTAGTTATCATATTAATAGGCAAGTTTATTAGTCATTTCATTACTTAGATTATCTATACAAGACACAAAATTTAGACAAAAATACTTATGTATGATATTTCCAAAGAGAATGTTTAACCTGATCTATGAAAAGAATCAGTTTGCTTGGTAAAGAAAAGAGAAGACAAATGGCACACAAAGTAATGGTTTTAAACACACAAAAGTTTCTACAAAGAGGATGAAATCATCTGTTTTCCATGACACACAGCAAAAATAATGGTATCAAACTGCAGCAAGGAAGACACAGGGAAATACTCTCTTTCAGGATGGATGGTGAAGCACTGGACTAGATTGCCTGGGAGGTCACAAAACCTCCACCATCGAAAGTTTTTAAACAAAATGTTAGAAAACTATAGCCTGACATAGTGCTGTTCTGGAGCCTGGGAACAGTCCTTCCCCCTTGCTGAGCTCCCCAGGCTGAACAGGCAGGAGCACGTTTCAGTTAAGGCACAGAGTCACACTGGGCTTTGTGGCTTCAGTCACTCCCACCTGAGAACCCTCCCTCATTAAAGATGGAATTAAAGGCAAAAGGTAAAAAAGTTAGTAATCTCTGATCTAGATTACCTTCTCATTTAAATGATGCTACACACAATCTGTCTAGTGTTAGCACCAACAGCCTTCTGAGAAAAAACAAATTTGAAGGAAGAACTGAACTACAGAAGAGCAGAGAACTACTCAGCACTAATTCTACCATATCCTCAATTTATAAAACCTCTACAATCTGCTTCATCCATTTTCTTAACTAGCATACAAGATGTCTGTTAGCTTCTCTATTGATCCAAATTTTACTAGTTCAGGCACACATTTTTACTAACCTCACTTTGCATCTTTTGAGCCTCCTTTGAAAACTGATACATTGGTGTATCAACAAAGTCCAGCATCGATCTGCCTTTAGATTTTTCATAATTCTCTTTGTATTTGACCTAGGAAAATGAAAATAAAGGCTGTTAACAGCTGAGAGAATGTGAGATCTGATTCCTTGCCACAGCAACAGACAAATCCTGTCAGCCATACTCCTTAGAGGTTTTGACTTGGAAGGCTCCTCCCAAATTTAACCTGTTGGAGAAATAGGGCAGCTAGGCAAGGAACTTCCTTCTGGAGTAATTTATTCCTTTGCTTCAAAATGTCAAGACATAAAAATGGTGAACTTTGAAGACAGCAGGAGTGAGGCGCATCAATCACAATCCTTAAATTAATTGCATGATTTTGGTTGAATGACCTATGTCTGAACAGTTGGCAGCTTTTCAATAAGATCCCCTGTCATGTTTCCATTAAACAACACACTTACTGTAACAACAACAAAGTCTGTTTCACAGTCAGGCCCCACAGGTGTCTCTTTCAGGCTCAGGAGTACCATTCTGAAATTCACTTTTGTTTGTACCTGTGGGAGGGTAAAGGGAAGGAAAACTACTGCCTCAGTAGGGTCCAATCTTTCACCATTCCCTCACAGCTGCCAATGACCATGACCCTAAGCCCAGCAGCAAAACCAAATTGAAGGACACAGGGTAAAGACACCAACATATTACTTTATGCTAACTCACAAACTTTGCTTTGTTTGAAAACCTGGAGAAGCCTTCTGAAATCATTCATTCACACTCTTTTGATTAAGATGGGCTAACACACTACTTAATCAGTGTGGGGTACGATGGAATATTCTACACAAGCCATAAAGGAAAGCAAACAGTTACAAATCAAAATGTGATATTCAGAATGAGTAATGTAATTTTAATTTATCTGTCTCTTCAGAAATAGTGATGTTTGAATTTGAGAAAAGTGTTAAGAATCTCTGTCCCTGTCAGGCTTCTGCACGAGGTTTGGGTCCTGCAAAAACACCTTCCTCACTCCTCACGGGCTGCTTCTGACTGGATATGGACCGTACATCACTAATCTGTCAAGCAGTTTTGTGTCTGATATAATCACTGTTAGAAGGCTGCATTTTTCTCTTTGCAAGATGTATTTATGACTGTGTATACCTGACTTCGAAACACTGTCTTTTGTTTGTGATGGATGTGTTCAGCCGTATCTAGGGTGAAATGATAGAAGCCCTTGCTTTGCTTAAATGATTTCTTATATTCATATGAAACAAAAAATATCCAAGGATGTTTTCACAAACAAAATCCAGAAGGTTTTGCAATTTACATACCAATTAAAATAACTATGAGAGAAAGAGCAGAAAAGAAACTATATTTTAGACCTCCCAACTCAGGAGTTCTACTGTTAAGTTTGAGTTTAAAATATGTGATGAAATGTAAAAAAAAAAAAAAAAAGGACATGACAAAAAAATAACTTTTCTAAGTTTCTAGATAAAATGCTTATCCTGCTCATTCAAAAGACAAATGTTTATGTTTGCTGGAAAATAAACATTATTATTTACATTTGAAGTGCAAAGGAACACATATGGCAGTCTGGGTTTGCCTCCTAGTGGAAATAATTATAAATGTCACACAACAAAATCACTTCTGTAGTGAAAACAAACGAAAACTATCTCCATCTACAGATATTGACTTCATACTTTTAATCCATTCCTCAACTAAAGAAAAAAAAAAATTTTTAAAATCTATAAAATCAAATGAAGTAAATCACATAACCTTTTGCTACACTAAACTACAGGCACCACATCCAGTCTCTTAATTCCTATTTATTCACGCTGTTCCATAAAATGAAACACATCTAAGTTCCTTTTTTTTTTAGCCTGTAGTTCACTGGCATCTCAAAGTCTCTACAATAGGAACAGATTTAAAACGTGCAAAACAATAAACTAGCTGTTGTACATATATCAAAGTTTTACATTTTATGTCTCCATAGTTCATGTCAAAGAGAATTAAGTGTATACCATGAGGGGAAAGTTCCACCTTGTGAACTCTCTTCCTTGTCAAAATAATGAAAACAGAATGAGTTCGACCTGTCAAAATCAGTCTATTTGTGTCCAAACAACGCCCATCAAGCTTTAGTCTTAACTGTTGGAATTTACTCCCATGGAAGCTGACTTGTATAACAGCTTTGCACTGGCATTACAGTATATGTGTTTCATAGAGTTGCACGTACTTCTACACACTAGGTCAATCAGTAAACCTACTCAATCAACCATATTAGCTTATGAGTTTAATTAACCATATAGGTTCCAATGTGTTACACCAGGACAGGTGTAACTGTTATGCAAAAGATGAAGAGAAGCATAAAGTTCAAGGAAGAAAGGTATACTACATACAGGGCAACAGCAAAATTGGGCAATTAGCAAGAAGCTCTGTGTTTCAGAAGCAAAAAAAAACACCACACCACAAAAAACACAGACCATACAATCAGTCTTTGGAAATCAGTTAACGGCAGAGTCAGGAAGACCAGTTCATGCAGTGGAAGCAGACTTCAAAAAAGACTTGGTGTGAGCTGTGGAGAGACAAGGAGAAGAACACAAAAAAGGCAGTGGAAAAGCGTGGAGAAAGGCAGGAGAGTAAGCAATGATGACAGGGGAAGTCAAATCTGAGAAGGAAACTAGAATTAGGCCAAAATGCACACAAAGAATGCAGGAAGTGAAAACTATCAGCTCATTTATTATCCATACAAAAGGGGATAGTCAGTGTTAGCTTCACATATCAGAGTGAGACAGATAAAAAGCAAGCTTCAATTCACCAAAGAAAACACAAAAATCAAGCACAGATGGGAAGGATGGATTATTTTTATTATTTTAGACATAAGCCTCCATAAGCAAGCACTGACTCAGAAGATGACCCAGCATGCTCCTAGTCATTAGGGCTAACTCTTTGTGTGTGAAGCACTTGCCTCCAGCCAACTGTGAGCAATCTTCCTTCCCAACACCACTCACTCATGCCCTTCTTCTGCAGGTTCTGGAGTAAAGATGGCAAATGCAGCCAACCAGCCTACAAGCACCGCGCATGTAGCATAGGTGCTCTTGGAGTGGGAGAGAAGCTTCAACACTGCACAGAAGCTACCGATTTCCTACCTCTTCCTCCCCACTTCAACCCCACCACTATCCTATGTCCACCATAAACTGTTGTCCAACTATGTTGATGTGACCACCAGCCCCATCAAGGGGCATGTCTTCTTACGTGGCAGAATGGAGTATGTGCCTATTATCTGATCCAGTGTAGGATGCCTCAGATACTTAGGACGGAAAAATATTTAGACAGAGAAGGTCTAAGGGAGGCTAGCACTCGAGAGGCTGATCATGGCACACATCCAAATATTAAACTAGCATAATGGTCAGTTCTGTACAGAGACTTGCAGATGAAAGCAAAGATCTTAGGCAAAATGAGATTTGCAAGGGAAGAAGTATCTTAGATCAGCAAAGGAAAAAACAGACAAGGTTTCAGACATATAAGAAATGCTCAGGTACCAGAAGTCTGTGATCCTTATCCAGTATATTAGTTGTTCTACTAACTGACTTATCTCCCTTTTTTCTTTACTACACCCCCCCATCTACTACAGTTTCAACACTACAGCCTACTACATATCAAAAATGTATGTATTCTACAGTGACTATACATACTACGTTCCTTACTACATATATTTTTCAGATCATTCCTCTAAATGCAACTTACATCACTATGCACTTTGCTGATAGTTAAAGCATGGTTTAAATACAGCAGGTTTGGTAGATCAGAGGCTGGATCATGTAGGTTTTCCAAATCTTTCTTGTAATTCACCTGGAAAGAGAATTTAGGTTATATAAAGTAAAGACTAACAAAACAATTCACAGCTTCATATTACAGTGTGGCCGTCCAGAAACAGAAAGCATTAAGTGCTTGCCTGAAAATCTCTACCAGCCACTAGATGGTAGTCATTTACTGTTATTTGGAAGAAAAGGGAAAAAATCAATACAGGATTCATTCCACTGAACAAGTATTCGAGAACTACTCAACTTTTTCCTCAAAAAGGGACACTTACAACAAAAATCACACTTTGTATGACTTTTCAGACTAGAAAGGATTTTTTTTTTCCTTCCCCCAAACAAAAAGCCTTAAGAGTATCTTCCTCAATACTTTGAGTTTACTTACTTTAAACACCATTGATTCTTCTTCTTTTGCTCTTGATTCAGGAATTACACTAACTGTCCAAATAATAAGCTGTATATAAAACAGTTAAATGAAGTGCCTCTGGATATTTTATTTAACACAGATTGCTTTCAGCAAAGATAAGCAATATAGTCACCTAAGGCAAAAGATAATCACTTAATGAAGTAGCAGAAAATTACTTCCTATCAGCCTATAGTAGGATTCTCCATACTTCTGACAGCGGGATGCCCATCTTTACAGGAAGAAAACTAACCACTTTACCTATCTTGGATGACAAATCTTTTAAACCAATACTTTTAGTCACCTTCACATATGTATTGTGTTCTCACTGATTTAGGCAGACTTCAAATCAACAATAATCAATTTGCATATCTCTTATAATTACTTCAATGAATTTTTTACTAAACATTTAGATTTTTGAAACAATTACATATTCTGTTGGACCCTTCCTAGAGCCAGCCTCTTCTGTTCCCATTGGGTGGTGCCCCACACTTTGTAAACACCGGACTACAGAACGAGAGCTTGTCTCTTGGCTATCTGGGATCATGGCCTCAAAGAAGAGCTCACATTTTTAGCATTAGACACGCTGTTAAATATATAATCCCAACAGCATTATCACCCAGTATAGATGTCTTCTCCAATCTGGCACCAGCAGCAGGCACCCATTGCTGAATCTAGTGACTGCTGTACTTGGTAATACCATTCAGAAGATCATCCCACAGAATAAAGTCTAAAATAGAGACATCCAAATCTGAGCTACTTATGCAACATTCTCCTACAATCACTGGAGAGATGCCAGCCCTTCGCTCCTCTAAAGACAGGTATCTACAACAGGTCAGAAGAAGTGCCCTCCAAATACAAAGGGACCAAGTACAAGGCAGTTAGCTCAGAGTAAGAAGTAATAACTTTTGACACCCAAAGTTAAACAAGATGAATCTCATCTAAAATGGTTATGAAAAACTCTGCAGGGCCTTGGAGAAGGGCTTTCATAGAATCATAGAACAGAACAGTTTGGGCTGGAATGGACCTTTAAAGGCCATCTAGTCCAACCCCCTGCAGTGAGCAGTGACATCTTCAACTAGATGAGGTTTCTCAAAGCCTTGTCCAACCTGGCGTTGAATGTTTCCAGGGATCGGGCTTCCACCATCTCTCTGGGCAGCCTGTGCCAGTTTTCACCACCCTCATTGTAAAAAATTTCTTCCTTATGTCTACTCTAAATCTACCCTCTTTCAGTTTAAAACCATTACCCCTTGTCCTATCACAACACGCCCTGCTAAAAAGATTGCCCCCATCTTTTCTGTAGGCCCCCTTTAAGTACTGAAAGGCTGCAATAAGGTCTTCCTAGGGCCTTCTCTTCCCCAGGATGAACAACCTCAACTCTCTCAGCCTTTCCTTGTAATGACGGTGCTCCAGCCCCCTGATCATTTTTGTCACTCTCCTCTGGATCCGCTCGAGTAGGTCCTCTTTCCTATGCTGAGTACTCCACAGCTGGACACAGCACTGCAGGTGGGGTCTCACCAGAGCTGAGTAGAGGGGCAGAATCACCTCCCTTGACCTGCTGGCCACACTTCTTTTGATGCAGCCCATGATATGGTTGGCTTTCTGGGCTGTGAGCGCACATTGCCAGGTCATGTCCAGCTTTTCATCTACCAGTACCCCCAAGTCCTTCTCAGGTGGGCTGCACTCAATCCCTTCATCCCCATAGTGGGGGTTGCCCCAGTCCAGGTGCAGAACCTTGTCCTTGGCCTTGCTGAACCTCATGAAGTTCCCATGGGCCCACTTGTCAAGCTTGTCCAGGCCTCTCTGGATGCCATTCCTCAGGTGTGTCAACCACACCACTCAGCTTGGTGTCACCTGCAAACTTGTTGAGGGTGCACTCAACCCCACCATCTATGTCACTGATGAAGATATTAAACAGCACTTGTCCCAGTACAGATCCCCGAGGGACACCACTTGTCACTGATCTCCATCTGGACATCGAGCTGTTGACCCCTGGATGTGACCATCCAACCACTTCCTCACCCACCAAACAGTCCACCCATTCAATCCACATCTCCCCAGTTTAGAGAGAAGGATGTTCTGGGGGACTACCTCAGAGGCCTTACAGTGGGTCCAGATAGACAATAGGCTAAAGATGGGTTTTGTCAGAAGCAGAGGAAGAAATAGATAACATGCTCTACCTGCTATACAGACACACTGTATAGCAGAGACTGCCGCTCAGAGTAATTCGTAAGATAGAAAAAGAATTTCTGCTTGAGAACAAATGTTAGGTTTTTCAGGATGTAAATACATGTAAAATACAAAGCAAATTCACTTACGTCACTTGCTAAGGTGGATGCAATCTGTGCTTGCTTGTAGGAAGCACTGTCAAGAGGATTGTACTGGTGGCTCTTCATTTCCTTACTGAACTGCTCTTTGTATTTCACCTTCCACCAGAACAAACATATCTAATATTAACATGTAGCACATAAAGAAGGCACAGAGAATTCAGACTAGAAAGGAGCTTATTAAAGGCAATTGCCTTATCCATAAATCTTCAAACAATTAAGATGTTTAAAGAAGCTCAATTTAGCCACACCTGTGTCTGTCTTGTGCTGGTTTCAAAGTCATTTTAATGTATGTGAATTTTACTAAAATAAAAAATAATTTTAAGATTGTCATATGTGATTACTGGTGTCGAAGGATTTACAAAAAGGAAACAGAAACAAAACCATATGACCCACCTGAGTAATCAGATAAACCAGCACTGTTTGACTAGCAATAATAATGTACTCACCGAGAATCATTCAATGCATAATTAATATGAAAAATGTGGTTTTAAGGAAAAAAACAATTTATAAGATGATTAAACTGTAAAGCTTGTCAAATAAATCCCTTGCAAATTTTTCATCCATTTGAAAGTGGGAAGTCAGAATCAAACATCCCACTCAGCCGTCTTCCCACCACCAGCTCCATGTGCCACTCGCACTGTGCTAGGCTGTCACCAGAGCCCCCAGGTTTATTTTTAATTCTGCCAGAAATTTCCCATGAGACCCTGAGGAATCTCTCTGTAGTACAGGGCCTTCTTGAGGACAATGCCCACCTCATTACAGTGCTAGAAAGCATAATTAAATAACTGTCTGACATCACTTTCACGCACTTTCCTTCTTGTTCAAAAGAGAAAGGGGGAACAACAACATATGTAAGAGGAAATGAGCAATACATAAATGCTGAGGCAATGGCATTAAAAGTAAATAAATCACAAAAATTCCATAAAACATGCTGAAGAACTGAATTCAGAATCTGAAAATACAAAATCGAACAAGTAGTAAATCTCCTTCCTTTGCCTCCCTTGTTGTGCATGATCATCAAACATTTGGAGACTTTGCACGCATGCCTTACTTCTTTCCAACAGCTGGGCATAATGGAGGAGAATAAAGTTCAGTCTGAATTACGCTGCTTTCATGAACGTTAGTTAGGCACCTGATATCTGAGCCTATGCAACATCCATTATAATTTACCACGCTTTGCATTAAGTAAATACATGGCTTTTTCCTTACCCCTTTTTTTTTCCTATTGCCACATGAATGTCTGATAAAGTGGTTAAACCACCTCAAACAATCTCCTTCAAAAATTATTTTTTCTCAGCTTTAGTTGTGGGAAGAATTTTCCTTTTTCCTGTTTAGTTCTTCTTTGCCTCAGAAGACTCTCAACATGGTTTAGCTTACACAACTTCCTTACGTTTAGCCACGATGCCCAGTATTTCATTAATCAGGATAACAAGAAACCAAAACTAAGCCACCCAAGCAGAAACTAACTGTATATGTTCGAGAACTACATTATGATACCAACAGTTACATTGATTTTTCACTTGTTACTTTTAAAGAGGAACTTTATCTGAACACGTGATGAACTTCATAGTCTTTCACACTAACTCTAGAAAAGAATATTGCCTTCTGGTAGATTCATCTGGTTCATATTGTTTGATATTTGCCTTGGCTTTGGATCAAGTGGAAAAGCAGATATCTGAATACGAAGACACTGCCTTTGTCAAAGGCAAATCCACACACTGTATGAGCAATAAAGGAATAAATCAGAGGGCTCTTCTCTTTTAAAATGTATATCCAAAACTTGCCTTCCAATAAAAATCAGGCAGTGCTGGAATATGGAATTCAAGAAGTCTCAAAAACCAGGAATCGAGTCAGCATGGTGAGCAAAATAGTCTTTGACTCCTTGGGCATCAGCTCACATCATAACAACGTTGTGCACAAGAGTTTAAATATCCAACTACTGCAGGCTGTCTTCTGCCCAGCTAACAATGGCCACAAACTGCATGCAGACCAAACACACAACGTGGTCCTTCATATTCTTGCTAAGTGTGAAAGCGTCAGTGACAAAGGGTCCTCTCCTCACAACTGGCTTGCCATTTTCCAGCTGCAGCCATTTCATGTCATTTTTTAAAAGATTTTTTTAGCAACACATTTCAATCTAGAGATACCAGTAACAAATCCTCATTCGTGTCACTTCAGATCACATCACTGCTACCGAGGGGGAGGTAAGGTGGGGAGCTAGTAAACCCAGTCTTCACAGGGCTGTGTGTCCTGATGCCAGCGTGCAGCAGGGTCCCAAATTTAAGGAGATCACCCACCAACTCAACTGTAAACGTCCCTGTTGCAGTGAGGGATGTCTCAGTACCTTTAGGCCCTGCTGCCTTGTCTGGCTGCTCTGCTTATTGCCTTTGCTGTCCCTCCCGACCATCACCATCGCACATGCCATTCTGGGGCAAAATGGAGCCCACACAATAATACCAGATGACCTTGGCAGTATCTCAAGAGCACTTCCAGCAGTAATTTAACTCTTAACTCGTCATAGGGGATTTGTCTCATTGAAAGCTACACACGCATTCACTTTCTCTTTTACTGGTATTTTCCTGTTTCTTTCTCCCTT